TTTTCAATCTATTATAATCGAATCATATTAGATTTGATACCTAATTTGATCTAATCCGTGGCCACTAGATTAAACAAAGAATCCCATTATCAATTGTCAAAAAAATCCCCAGGTTTGTAACTTTATTTGAGCAGGAGGAAAATCATTTTAACAGCTCAGCACAAGAACACCAAATCCCCCTAGACAAATATGAGCTGGCTGGAGACACTGGTGGGTATTAGATTACAAGCACAGACTGGCTCACATGGGTCGGTCAACAGTGATAGTGCTTTCTTAATTACTAGTATTTTAGTTTGGTGAATTAATTGGGTAATTTTTTCTTACATAGTCCTCCCACAAGAAGAAAGTGATTATTATAAGAGTTAAAAGACACGTAGGATCACCAAAAAGGGCAACCTCACGGTACAATGATATTTTTTTGTCTTCTACTTAAAAAAGGTGTAGACATGGCATGTTCAATTATTTTTATACAAATTTAGTGGTCTTAGAATTTGTATTTTCAAGATTGAGCCATACATATAGTGACAAAATTAAGGATATGCATGAAATAGGTAATATTGATTTTCTATTAAAGGTCATATGCTATTTTATTTTATTTTATTATTTATTTATTTGGTAATGCTTGTCATTGGAAACTACTACTAAGACCAAGTGAATGAAGTGACTCACAACTGGCAAAATATTGTGGTATTGTGTTACACTTAAAAAACTTAAAAGATGAGAGAAGCTATCATTCAATTTAATTAGGTAGGGAAGGTAGTAGGACCATGCAATCTCTCACTGGTTCTGGTTCTGTCCTCTAAGATCTCCCCCCTCACAAACTATCAATTACGTGACTGGTCTAAATTGAATTATACTGCCATGCTTCAAAAAGAAAAAAATGATTTACAGACCATCATCCATTATGAAAACACATGAAACACACTCTCTCTCTCCCTGCGCGCAAATAAAGGCCACCTACTTGTCAACTGGTAACAAAATTGAACAACTTTTGACCATTATTATAATAAGAGTTAATGATTGATTGACCCTTCCAAAAGGGAAGGCCGGAAAAAGAACCGAAACATCATCTAACCTGCTTTTAACAGCAAATAAAATAAATAAATGATACCGAGGTTTATTTGTCAGCCTGATTCATACTTATGTTTCATTACTTCTACTATCTAATAAGAGTCCGAATGCAACATTTTACATCTCAATTCTTAACACACCTAGTGGTGCAATGGAAGGTTCCATTTTGTTCTTCACTCACTTGGATGAAGTTTAGGACTTGGATGTTACTCCTCTGTCCCAAAAAACATGTCTCTTTTTGAGATACAGAGAGTACTTCTTTTTCTTTTTCTTTTTTATTTTTTTTATTTTCACGATAGAGGGAGTACTTCATATAATACCAATATAATACCAATTGGGAATTGGAAAAAAAAATGAGTTGGGCCTCACAATACATGGCTAGCCCATGAGGAGCTGGTTTTTGTTCCGCTCCAATCCTAGTGTGGGACGGAAAGGAAGACTTTGGTTATATATGTATTATGTATGTACAGTCTCACCTGCATGTACTGTCAATTTAATGATTCGCCTTCTATTCATAAGAGAATTTTGAGTTATCCCAACACTATCAAGTATCTCCTGTCCATACAAAATACTGTTATATGGACACGATGCATAGCTTCCACAACCGCATTGGATATATATTTTAACTTACAGTTACTACACTTAGCTAGCAATTACTCTGCTCTGCTTCTGCTCACTGATAAGCCCCTTTGAAAAATTTGACACTACATGATCCATGCATGGTGGCATTCGCATTTCTTTATTAATCTATACAAGAAGAAATTATGTAACATATTAGAGAGCTAATCACACAATTATATAATATTATATTATATGTTGGAAAGCAACAATAGATCCACAAGTTAGTGTTCAAGTCGATACTCATTGGATTATTGGCAAATTCGTCATAGAACTACGCAAGAAGAAATTACATAACATATTAGAGAGCTAATCACACAATTATATTATATTATACTTTGTATGTTGGAAAGGAACAATAGATCCACACAAGTTAGTGTCCAAGTGGATACTTACCGGATCATTAGCCATTTTAAACAAATGCCATAGAAAATGTAACAGGACATCTACTGTCCAGAGGGAATCTGGCAACTTTCTTAGATGCTCACGATCAAAAGGATAAAAAAAAAACTATCTCATCCATGCGATTCAGCAACTCAAACCTAAAGCCTCTTTTTCCCTGCTAAATGAACCAAAGGAGAGAGTTTTGAAGAAAATGACAAAGCAGCAACATGCATGATAAAGTAAATATCCAACTCTTGCCACTATCAAGACTACTACTATGCTGTTTCTATTTATTTACCTCTTCAGTAGCAACATCCCAAACACTACCGCGATCAGGATAACCAACAAATCGCGAAAGAATTGCCATGTTTCCCAGATCCGAGGCAAAAATGACAATAGTGTTTCTGAAGTCTACTGTAAGTCCTCCATTGGTACTATATATCCCGTGATCAAGGATCATGAGTAAAGCACTGAAAACAGACATGTGAGCCTAAACTACCTGGGAAAAGAGAAGGATGCTGTGTGGCCTCAGTTTGACATCCTCTAAGAGTGACAAACCACGTTGCTCATGGCCACTATACCAGAATACCACAAAAGTGATCAGTCATGTACGTGGTAACAATAGAATGAAAAGTACACGCGGGTAATTTGAACATTTAAAAAAACCAACTGACAATAACAAGGAATCTTACTATGAAAGTTCCAACTGTCCATTTAAGAACCGGAAAAGTGAATCTGATTCTGTGTATTCAGACAAGTCAATTTGATAAGTAGGTGACAAGATGCTTGGCAAGACAGCCTACTAGATCTGCTTCACCAGCTCGATTTGTCAGATCATATTGTGCATCAATAGAATTAAATAGTATCTTTACTACAACATCAATTGCCTGATGTCCTACCACGCTACTCAATTTCACCAGCGCATCAATGTAAATCATGGTCATATCATCTATCTCATTCTCTACAAGCATATCAGATAACGAAGGGACCAAATTCTCCTTCACCCATCTAAGAGAATAGGAGAAGCAATTAATACAAGTCCATAACTTAAACACAGCAAAAGACAAAGCGCATGTCAAGCATAATTAACGTGTCTCCAGCCCTCGTATTATTAACTTGTACTCTGACAGTTTATAGCACTGTTAATGAGCACAGCTGAAATTAAATGAAGTAACACATACAATGATTTCTGTAAAACCCAAGTCTAATGTTACTCAAATTCACGTATCATAATTGATTCTTTTTCCAGCCAACTTTGTCTAAATGGAGAAGGTTAAGAAATGAGAACAAAAAATTGACAAATTTAAAGGACACTCCTAGCCATATTGGTCACGGGTTGGGTCGTGTCCCACGCGTCCGTGGGGTCGGACATGTGTTCGACCAACAACGTACCCTTAAGGGAGTTTCCATGCTTCCTAGACATCATCCTTTTTCCTTATGATGCCCTATCCATCTCTCCTACTCTCCCTTCCCAAGAAGTACGAACAAGAATAAAAAGGTTGAAGTGTCTGTGTCGCACACGCACATGGCCTGTTTTAGACACGCCCAAAAACTTGTCAGAATATTTTCCTTGTTGACCTCACCACAGGCATGTCGTGGACGCATAGGGACATGTTGACACACAACGGACAAACTGTGAACATGTGACGGACATGTTGACACACAACAATCACACAACGGACATGTCGCAAATACGCCTTTTATTAAAATAGGATTCATAAAAAAAATTCAATAAAAGACGGTAAGAATAAAATGTTTTTTAAATGTAATTTATCAAGCAATTCTATTTTGATATTTTCATGGTTATTACTTGTTTCAAATTGTAAAAGATCACAAAGAGAAAATGGTAAGAATATTGCTCTCTTTCACAACCAAGCTTCAAACTTACTACAAAATATCATCGAAACTTACTGTTGGCAGCAAACATTTTTCTTCTCCTTCAATAAATCCTCTTTCACTTTTTTTTTTTTTTTTTTTCGTCCTCTTCTGATCCCAACCCCTTTTGTCATCAACAGGTTCTCTCATTTATTATCAACAAAGAGCTTTTTCTTTTATCTCAACACCACCGTAATTTTCTTAATTCTTTGTTTTTTCTTTCTAAAAGATTCCCTCGTAGTATATGAATTCTCTTTCCTTTATTTCAACAAAGTTAGAAAAGGTTTAGAAATTCTGCTTAACACCACACCCCCCCACCCCCCCTACCAAAACAAATTTTATAAAGGAGATTTAGAAATTAAATTTCAGCCTATTCTCTCTTCTTTCATTTTTTTTTTCCCTAATTAAATAAGAGAATTATCATTGAAATCCATTAGTTGTTATGATATGAATTTTTTCGTTCTTAATTGATGAAAAGTAATATTAGTCTTACTATCACATATAAAAAAATATTTATTATTCATTGTGTTCCCCTCATGTCTATGCCGATGTGTCAATGTGTCCATGTCGTGTCGTATCCGTGCTTCATAGCTCCCATCCATCCATTTCTCCATCCCTTCAGTCAAACCAGCCATTATATTAGATGGAGAATAGAAACTTACTTGATGAACTTCTGACTCACTCAAGATATAATTGAGTGGAGCGTCTGATGCGTATAAAATCAGCCTTTTCTCAGTCATGGAGCTGGCTATGTCCCTCAGCTGGAGGCTGGTAGCAGCCATATAGTGTTCAAAAGATAAGAGCTTAAAAAATATCACCTCATCCAGTTTTTCAAACAAATCATGCCTGAAATGTTTTCTCGCCTGTAAGTTACAGGGAACAAAGATATCAGCAATGGAATAGTTTGGTTAAAAACTAATTCAGGAAACAGAAATTTGAACTAATGCATTAAAAAATAATTTAAAAAACACTTAAAAAACAAACACCCCATATGTGCTTCTTGAAACCAAGAGATGTACACATCCTCTCCTTCTTTATGCAACTTACCTCCCTCAGAAGACAATGGATCCGGAGATAAGTCTTTCAGCGGCATTTCTTGAACCATTTGTACATATTTGCAGGGTCGCCATTGGAATTTACCATCCATAACATTTGATGTCATGATTATCAGTGTTTTGGTGAAGTCAGTGGTGCTTCCTTTGCCATTTGATACTCTGCCATGGCTAATGATCTCAATCAGAACGTTAGTAACAGAAGGATGAGCCCTATCAACATTGTGAGAAAATACTACGGTGAAAGGCCTACTCTTCACAGATTCTGTGAGCAGTCCATCTGTCAGATTAAAGGAACTGAAGAATCCAACATAAAGCAAAATAATTAGCCCTACATAAAATACTGAGCAAAAGCAAACGAAAGAGACCATCCAGAAAGATTATAATGGAGGGACAACCAATGATGCGTGAGACAGATCCTGAGTCAGTATTCTGACAAGTCGAATGCTATCAACCATTTTTTGTCGTCAAAAAGTTGCTCAGCAAGAGCATTGGCGATCTCCGTCCATCCCTGCCCAAAGCCATCTAAAAAAAGAAATGTCAACTCTAGGCCTTGACAATGCATTGCTAATAACAAATGGAACATGCTCTTGTCCAATTAGCCCTTTAGCCAGTCTTGTTTCAAGGCCCTGAAGTGGCGGCTCTGAAAAATGAAGGAGGCATGAAGCAGGAATCCCAGTCAGAAGACTTGCTACCTGCATTGCCCATCATTGAATAATTGAAATATGTCATCAAAGCGCCAGACTTTGTAGTCAGATTTAGATATCAAACGTCACAAGTTATATAAAACTGAAGAATACAAAATAATACATACCTTTGCAATTAGACATGGAGTAACAGTCAGGTTTTGCTTAAAATTTTCGTCAATCGTTAGCATGAGCTTGGTAACAACCGTACCAAGACGTTGACCGACCCCAAAGAGTAGGGTCGAGTCCATCACATTCGCAACTTCCATCTCCTCTAAACACGAAACCAACATCTGGTGTGGTTGTTCCAACATGCATGTTTCTTCTGCTCTTTCTTCTTTAGAGCTCTTCTGGGATAACACTGTGGGCTTCCACTTCCACATAAAGCCATCCCACTTATTCATTAAATCTTCATAATCCCTTTTTACCTGAAGCCATAAAAAAATAAAAATAAAAAACCAACCCAAATTGACTATATATGTATACATGTTATGTTCATATTAGTTCTATGAAAGCTTTGCATGATCCAGAGAAGAAAAGCAGCACTTACATGAGGAAACCATAACTTCTTAGCAGGATCCTTCTCTCTATAGTATTCGTCACATTCAACAAATGTACGCAACAACGAGCATTCGTCAAAATCCAAAGCCTTCTCTTCCACATTGGTGTCCAAGCCTCATGATTGTCACCAATTCCTCCCTCGTTAGACAGCAGAACTGAAGAAATAACAGGAAAACATAAATGACAGACATTATCAATCCCAAACAAATTCACTAAGCAGTGCAAAGTATATGAAATCAACAAAGGGAAGGGATGCCAACCATCAGAGTATTTGAAGGTGATGATGTTACAAGCAAGTAGTATAGCATCAGTGTGAATTTCAACACCATAAACGGTCTCCAATTTATCCTTGTATTCCACCTCAAGCTTCCTTGGAATTTCAATCATCCATGGTTCCATATCCATCGTTTAAAAACCCTAAAACAATTTTTTATTTATTTTTACATAAAAAAAGTAATTATAATTACCATAAAAATTGGAGGAGTGACTTTAGTTTCAGTTATACACAAACAATTATGTGTATATATTTGTGCATTTCAAATATATGTAGAATATATGATAATCCAGAAACGTGAATCAAGAAATGTATTTGTGTTTGTACATATATGGATGAGAAAAGAAAAAAAAAAATTCAAAAAAAATGTTCGCAAAGAACAGACGGAAATGAGATTATCAGGATTTACCCCAAGCAGAGTCGGATTCTCAGAGTGCAAAAGAGGATGAAAGTTTTCTGTAGAAAAGAGGAACCGAAAGAACTCTCCTAATACATAGATTTCCAAGTGAAAAACCGAATTTCTTTTAATTATTCGGGAAAAAAAAAAAAAAGGAATTTCGTTTATGAGGGAGGTTAATTCAGAATGTAATCAGACAAAATTTAAACATCCTTAGATTCCAACACTGGACGATCTTTTAGTTTGGCTGCCTTTCTATGTTGGTCTCTTTGGAAATCTAAAAAATATTTCATCTTTAAGAAGAAGGTATAGTCGGAATTAGAAGTTGTAAATCATGTTGTTCTATCATTTTTCTCAATTTTCGGAGCCCAACCAATGTCATCTGGGTCTGATTTCAATTCCACTAATTTCTTCTTCAGTTACTTTCAAATTTTGATTATAAACTCAAATTTTGATTATAAAAAAAGACCATGTAATCTTTAAAAAGTTATCCAATTATTTAAAAAAGCTAATATAAAATATAAAAAAAATCACAATTTTAAAATTTTGATCATAAATTCTCAACTTATTTTAAAAACCCTATACTCTTTAAAAAGTTATTCAATTATTAAAAAAAAATGGGCTAGTTTTAAAAGAAAAATCACTACTTTTAACTTAAACAATGAAGTTGCGAAATACACTTCAATATGGTAAGAAAAAAAAAAAAAAAAAAAAAAAAGCTTACTCAAAATGGAAATCTTAAATGACCCCAAAATGTGTGAAATTTACTATTATTTGATCATAAATTTAGAATTCAAAATGAGTTTCTTTTCAATCATAAATTAAATTTTTAATTCAACATCATCCAATCATTCTTGTCTTCTATATGAATTGAAGTTGATCACGTTAATTTTATTATTTTTGCCTTTCTATCATACACCTTAAATTTGTTAAATTATTTTTAATTACTTCATCTCATGTAAACTACTAGTTTGAGCCCCTTTTAATAGCTGCATCAGTGGATCTAATATTAATCATTTTCCATAATGTACTTCATTGCTGTGAGCCGTGGCAAACAGTCCAACACAATGTTTCATTACTACTATGACTATCAAAGAGTCAAAATGCAACATTTTAGGATTACATATTAATACTTAGTTACCTAGTGCTGCAATGGAAGGTTCCATTTTGTTCTTCATTTACTTGGATGAAGTCTAGGGCTCAAAACTTGGAATTCTCTTTTAAATAGACAACTTGATATGAAGGAAGGTAGAGGGGAAAAAACAAAAAAAATAAAAAGAGTAAAGAAGGAAAGAGTGTATATGGTAAAACTACTAGTGCATTGTTTTCCCCCATAAATTATTCACTGATTCATAATTCATGTTTTCTGGCAAGAAAATAGTTTACATAGTTAAAAATCTAGAATTTCCACATTATATATTGCATGAGAAAACCAAAATCCTTAAATTTGACCATGAGCACTTCTATTATTAGTCCATAAAGATTATACTTTCACAGAGAGATCACTACTCGTTTTCCTGGCTAGTTTCTAAGACATATTCCCTCATCAGTTTTGTGTTGGATTCATCCACCATCTGCAAAAATACAACCCAGAGAATAAAAAGAAAAAAAGAAAAAGGAAAATGAGAGGAACAACAATCAGATAAACGAGAAAAAATAACAACAACAAAAAAAACAATGAATTTTTAACCTTAAATGCCAACCGCTTCAAGTTGTCCCACTCAAAATCATTCTTACAATATGCAGATCGAACCTGGATAAAAATGTCGGATTCTGATTTAAATTTAAAGAAATTAAAGTCTAAAAAGATTAGCAAAACGAAGAAGACATTTTCAATTTGCAAGATGCGATATACTGACCTCTAATATGCGCAGAGCTGCAATTCAGGAGCCATATAGTAATTCCCACAGATCCAACCATAACACATGTAAAATCTCAGAGGTCAGAGCTATATTATTCTCAAACTCAAGATACAACTCACTTATCATATCACATAGCATTCAATTTGTAGGAGGTATTAATCAGATAGTGAACGTAGCATACTAAAAAAGAAATTGAAATTGAAAGACACTTTCCAGAAGATCACTTCATCATAATTCATATAAGGTACTGGAAATTAAATCAAAGTTTGTGGAAAGTGCTTTAAATACAAGTAGTACAATCTACAGCATTTAGCACCTTTTTAGAAAGTAACTGCTTTCACTAGGGTGCACTTAGAAGTAGATTCAAGACAGAATAGCAACTAGTATGTTGGCCAATGGCCTTCCTGAATCACATCACAAGCCCTTTTGGAATTAATTCTTGCTTTTGTGCAATTACCAATCACAAAACAAGAACCCAAAAGGAAACTAAAGATAATTAGTTCATTGCTCTGGTATCAGTGAGGATATAAGATTGCAGTCCTCTACAACCAATAAATTTATCCGAGACAGAGTCTCATATCACCAAAATCCACCCGTCCTATTTTGAGATCAGCATGAATAGTTTCTACTCTGCCAATCCCAAACAAGTCCCCTACGTTCATCCTGTGCAGACTGCCTAAGAAGTAAGACCCCTAAATATAAATTAGGACACTCTGCAACAAACATTCCAAAGAATTAGCCACTTATTAATATCTGACCTGAATCAACCCGTATCAGAAGACTCTACTGAGGAACCCCTCATCAAAGCAATCTAAAAAGTAAAATCCAAATTCAACGGTGATCAATTACATATAGGGAAAAACGTCAACCCACAAATTCAACCGAGAAATATGAAATCGACCACTCATTGAACAAAATAACCTCATACCCTAAAATCCAAAACAGACAAGCCATTTTGGAATTAATTCTTGCTTTTGTGCAATTACCTTTTTATTATATCATTATTAGCATAAAAGGTCCTACCTTTTAAATAAGTTTATATTACGAATAGTAGCCAAGGTGAAAATAGAGGTGTTAGAAAAAGTATTTCTTGGAAATGCCAAAACATTTTATAAGAGAAATAGTATATAATGATACTAGTTCACAATGATTGACGGTATCTTAGTGATTATAGCAAGGCAAAAACTGCACACACAAAGCTGATATGTTTGTCGAGTTATATTTTAAGCATTATAAACCGATATGCTTGATTGATTACTTCATTAATGAATTACAAAGAACTTTCAATCAGATACAATAACTAGAGGACTATACAGAAAAATGGATTCTGGTTTAAATTCGTGAGTAGAAATGTAAAATTAACTGTTAAATAAACATACCTAAACTTTTATGCCTGGGAGATTCTCTCATCAAATCAGCACAGAACTTGTCTCCATCATTTAATGAGTGTTTACTCAAAAATCCCATCAACTCCTCGTGTGCCTCTGTGTTGTAGCTCTGCTCTGTCAAAAGACTGTTAACCAATGATATTATCCAAATATACTTGATCATACACCAAATTTGTGTTTGTTCCGTACATGCATACACTATTTACTGTAAAAATATACACTATTTAAGAAGACAGTGATAGGTCCTTAGCTGCCATACAATAAATTAGTAGGATGCAAAACTAGGACCAAGAATGAGAAATGCACGTGCTAGGGCTTAGGGGTGCACAAAAAAAAACGAAAAAAAAAAAAACTAGGACCAGTCAGTGTGGTTCTGTTTTTTCAGTCAGTTTCCATGTTTTTTAATAATCTATAAGGGGCGTTTGGGTTCTGGTTTGAAGTCTTAGAAGACTATTAATATATTATGTTTGAATCACTCCATATAATAACAAGATATATGGAAAACAAACACTAATAATAAGCTATTATTCTAATTACCGAAAAAAGAAGAAGCTATTATTCTATTTCTATACATATATTATATGGGGTATAATATATAGAATAATAAGATTTCATTTTAATTTTCAGTCCAAAAATGTACAACCTAACTGTCAGTTAGGTTCCATTGGTTTCTTAGGTACTTTTGATTTATTTTATTTCAATATTTATGGAACTGTTAGAATTGTTTAGTTCCAACTCCTAAATGGATCCAATCCGAATCGAGGACACCCTATTGATGTATATTTGTGCAATTGGTAAATTCACACAAGAACACATATATGTGAATAAAGAAATAAGAGGAAGAAAAACCTCAAGCTGTGCAGTAACGATCCTGACGGCAACATAAGTGAAGAAATTGTGGAGGTTTTTGGCTGCCTTGGCTTCTGGGGATGCTTCTCCAAATCCTGCAACAGACATCATCAAAAGAAAAGCACACACAAACACACACATATATATGCACACTAAGAAGAGAGACTACTCACCAGGCACATACATCTTTTGGCAGCGAGGAGTGATTTGAGATGTTTTTCGTGTCGACCATGGCCTAAAAGGGTAAGATGCAGTTCTGTTTGGTCTTGGAGGGAAAAAGGAGGAGAGGTGAGACAGTGGGAGAATTTTAGAGGATTCCATGGATAAGGGGTATGCGTTACAGTGATTGCGATGATGATTTAGTGACCAAACTGATGAGGCCCAACAAAATTTTACCCAATTGACGGAAATATCCTTTGTACCCTGCAAAAATATCTATCACTACATGGAAATGGTGCTCATGTTTGTCCGTTTGTTTAGATGGTATGGCGTGGGGGCTACTAAGAACCAAATTTTAATTTTTTCCTTAATTTGCGGAATCTTATGGCTTTCAAATCGCTCCGCGGGGTTAGTGGGGGCATTCCACCCATTGATTTTATTTTATTTTTTATTTTTTTGGCATTACATACTTGGTAGTTTAAAATTTTATTTTATTATATTATATATTCATAAAATTTTACCATTGTCCTCACTAAAATTAGTTAAGAAAATCTCACTATACAAGTTTGCCTTTTCTCATATAATTTTTCAGATCTTGAAACATAATTGACTAGCGACGAATACTATTAAAATATATAACTTTTTGATAAGCAATTTGTTTACGAGGTTTGTTTTAACTTGAAACAAAATAAGTGTTTTGAATAGTAATTAGAAGTATGTTTAAGTAACATTCATTTGTTGTAAGATTTTTGAAAGAAAAAAATATAAAAACATATTTGGTAAAAAAATGTTGTAAGGTTAAAAAATATAATGATTAATTTAAAAATGACATCTACAAGTTTTTTTTTAATTTAAAAAATTTATTGTTCATCACTGCAGTACCAAAAACTACCATGTGAAAACATATAAAAATACTAAATTGATGTTTCAATTTTTGATCACTATTCAAGAAATGTTTCTGCACTATGCAAAACAAATATTTTTTTACTACCAATAAAAACAAAAACACCAAAAATAAAACGCATACCAAACATCAAAAATAAAAAAAATAAAAAAAAAACTCAGTTCCTTCCGTGTTACCCCTCTCTCAACTTCATTTTGTACCAAAAATAACTCACTCAACTTTACTATTAAATTTCTGTACTCCACAAATTCTCGTGAGTCCTCTTGTCTCACCCACTTCTCTTATTGCTTCTCGTGACTTGTAGGCGCTCGTTTTCAATGAACAATCCAGGCCCTTCTAATTTGGGCCGCACAGCCCATGGACATACCGGCCTCATTGTGGCGGTCCCCTAAAAGATAAAACGCCGCATATCCTTTCACACAAAGAAAACGACGACGTCTTCTCTGGTTGCCACTTGCCGACGTGCCGTTGCACAATAAACTTCATCTGCTGTAGCGACCGCGTTTTCTTCCCCATTCGAGAAGAGAAAGAAAACAAATTCCTTAGTTTCGACTTTCTCAAATGATTCCCTTTGAATCACTCCAGAAACGACCCCTTCAATGTAAACTCCTCTCTCTCTCTCTCTCTCGAATTTCTCTCTAACAATATTGTATATGGTCTGATTATCCTTTTTGTACTTTAGTTTTGAATTGCAGGTGGAAGAGCTGGTCCTGTACTGCGAGTACTAACCATGACGAAGAAGGCTTCGTTGTTATCCATACGCCAAGTGTTCTGGCTGAGTTGGAAGCTCGTGATCGCTTTCACGATTGGTCTCTGTGTATTCGCTCTTCTTAGACTACAACACTCCCAATCCCAACTCTTCTCCTCATCTCGCAGATATCGAATTCCAGATGACAGCTTCGAAGGACCTCCAAAGATTGCTTTCTTGTTTCTCGCGCGTCGAAACCTACCTCTCGATTTTCTCTGGGGAAATTTCTTCCAGGTATGTCGCACAATTTTCCTGAGAAAATACAAGCTAGGAAAATTTGAAGTTTTCTCATCTTTTTCTTTGAATTCTTATGGTTATATTGGATTAACTGGATTTTGTAGAACGCTGATGTGGCTAATTTCTCGGTACATATTCACTCCGAGCCTGGGTTTATGTTCGACGAAACAACCACGAGGTCGCCTTTCTTTTACAATCGCCAATTGAGCAATAGCATCAAGGTGATGAGCGTTTCTAATTTTCTTTCTAATGCCATGGAAGAATTTTTTAAGAAGTATGGATTTTCTTCTTTATTATATGGATTGTTTTGTTGCTGACTAAATTTAGGACAAGAAAAGATAATTATAATGAAGGTTGAATTTGATTGTTTATGATTTTTTGCTTTATAGAAAATAATGAGCTCTCACGTCAAAGCTATTTAGTTTGGGGCACTGGTTAGTGATTTTTTTTTTTCCCCAATTATTAAAAAAATTAAGCTTTTAAAAGTTTACTTTCTTTGTTTATTTGTACATCCATTTTTTAGGAAAAAAGAAAAAAGAAAAGAAAAAGAGTTCTGATTAACTAATTATTTTGATTTCTCTTGCGTACTGGCTATTGAGTTGTTGTTGTTGTTGTTATAATTGGTTGATGTTGCAGGTGGCATGGGGAGAATCAAGTATGATTCAAGCTGAGAGATTGTTACTTCGAGCAGCTCTTGAGGATCCAGCAAATAGGAGATTTGTTCTCTTGTCGGACAGGTTGGTGTCCTTACCATTGGAACAACTGAATTTGTTCATTCATCAATCATCATAGATGTAGCCCCTTTAATATGTATATCAGACATTATTTTCAATGAATACTTTGGCTTTGAACTAGTAAAAGATATGGTTATTTGTTTGTCCTTTGGAATACCTTTATGTTTTTCTTTTTTTTCCAGGTAAATGGAATAGCTTTATGTTGCATATTCATTTGATAGTGACATATATACCAAATTCTATTCTCCTCCTCCCTCTTCTGTTCTATGAGAACAATGTAAATTATATATGATTAATCCTTACCTCGACATGGTCTTGCCCTTTTAAGCATTGATTGGAAATGGAAAACTGTGAGATAGGGGTTCGCTACTGTCAAATAAAATTTAGAAGTCATGAAAGTTGGTCGTCTATTGATTTTAAGCTTTAGCTTCCATAAACTTCTATGAAAAGTAAAAAAAGACAAGAGTTAAATGCTAATGAGTGTGTAACTTAGGCTTGATGGATATGTATATGCTAATAGATTTTGTGTAAGAATGCCAATGTGGGTTGATACACACCCTACGAATAATGTCTGCTCGTAGAAGGACAGAAAACTTAATCTTGATATAAAACGTTAAAACTTTACTAAAATACTATTGAGTGCATACACTTCGGTTTTTAAGGATTTATACATGCTATTAGGTAGTGTGTAAAAAGTGAAATATTGGGGATTTTTAAAACCATTTCATGATTCTAAGTGTGCTGTAAAATCTTTCATATCGGTTCCTTCTTCTAATTGACATATGATCAGCTTATTTTGTGTTATGAAATAAGGATAGTATAGGAGTTTATGAGAACAAGAGAAAAATAATGACAAGAAAATAAATAGGCACACACAAATGAGACAAGGATATATACGTGGTTCACCCTCACAAATAGGGCTATGTCCACGGGCGATGATGATTTGTATCACTATAAAGAAGAAGATTACAAACTGAAGAACGTTTTGGTTCTTCCTCACAATAATCTCTCCTCATATCACTCACTCACCAACAAAGAAGACTCACTCAACACTCAAGAAATACTCCAAATAGTATGTGGTTTACGCAAAAAGAAAAACCCATCCAAATACAAACTTCAACTCTCTCTCGAAGATTGTGCACACAAAAGGATTTTCTCACACACAGAAAACCAATATACTCTTTTGATCCGAATATTGTCTTACTCTCGGATGCCTCTCGGATGCCTTTCATCAAATGTGTGCAAGGCTATATATAGCCCAAAAACACTTGGTGTCCAAGTATATTTCACAGCTTCCTTTGGAAGCCAAATGACACTTGCTGTTCAAGAATTATTCTTGTTGCCCAAGAATTTCAAAGCTTCCTTTGGAAGCTAATTTGGAAGCTTCACCATCACATTTTTGTATCCAAAAGATTTTTGTCATGTCATAAATAAATTTTAGACAAATTTCTAACAAATCTCCACCTTGACTAAAATTCTCTACCTTGGCAAAAATTTCGAATGAGTCACAATTTCAACAAAACTCCATTCTTGGCAAAATTTCTCCACCTTAGCACAAATGATAAGACAACATCATAAAGAGTCTTTCTTCAACACAATGTGAGTAATAAAAATAATGCCATCATCATCTCCAACACAAAACAAATTAATAAAGAATTATAGTTAAGTTTGAGTCATCCTCAAACTTAACCCTCGGGCTCTCATTCTTCAACCCATGCATGTCTTGTGCAGCCACAAGCATATTTCCAGTATTTCTGTCAAACTCTAAATGCTTACCAAAAGCAACATCAGATACTCTGAGTTTGACATCTCCTTTAGCAACCTTCTCCAACCGCCCACAAACCACCGGTTGGTAGTGAAAAGTCATCGTCTCACCCTTGTGGAGAATAGGACGTCCTTGACTTTTCTTCGCATCTCTGTTGTGACCAACTACTTGCCTCCCACACATCTTAATGGCACTCGAATGGACTATCTCATTGCCATTAAGATTATTGCAAGTCAATATCACACCTGTCCTCATGGGTCTGCCTTCCTGTAAGGACTGCTACAATTTCGGTTGCTATCTGAAAACGGATTTCATTCTCCCACCACGTTGTGTAGTCCCCTCACAACCCTTTTGAAAACTAGGATCGTAACTCCTCTTTCTAACTCTTCCTTTGCCATTACCTTGCTGAGTGAGCAGGGCTTGCATCTTAATGCGCCAAAGGCTGAAACTAATCTTGCCATCAAATTTCTCAACCTCGTATTTTGTCAACATCTCAAAAAACTCCCCAAAAAAATTTCTCTGTGAATAGTACCGTATCTGTGAACAGTACCGAATAGTACCTGTGAACAGTATCTGTACACAATACACAAACCCGAACTCTGATATCAGTTTGTTATGAAATAAGGATCGAATATGAGTTTATGAGAATAAGAGAAAAATAATGACAAGAAAATAAATAGGCACACACAAATGAGACAAGGATTTATACGTGGTTCACCCTCACAAATAGGGTTACGTCCACGGGCGATGATGATTCGTATCACTATAGAGAAGAAGATTACAAACTGAAGAACGTTTTGGTTCTTCCTCACAATAATCTCTCTTCTCACACCACTCACTCACCAACAAAGAAAACTCACTCAACACTCAAGAAATACCCCAAATAGTATATGGTTTACACAAAGAGAAAAACCCATCCAAATACAAACTTCAACTCTCTCTCGAAGATTGTATACACAAAAGGATTTTCTCACACACAGAAAACCAATATACTCTCTTGATCCGAATATTGTCTTACTCTTGGATGCCTCTCGGATGCCTTTCATCAAATGTGTGCAAGGCTATATATAGCCCAAAAATACTAGTGTCCAAGTATATTTCACAGCTTCCTTTGGAAGCCAAATGACACTTGCTGCCCAAGAATTATTCTTGTTGCCCAAGAATTTCAAAGCTTCCTTTGGAAGCTTCACCATCACACTTTTGTATCCAAAAGATTTTTGTCATGTCATAAATAAATTTTAGACAAATTTCTAACATTTTGATTCTACAATTAGTTTTTCTTTCATTCTTTGTGGATCTTGAACATTTTCCTAGCAATCCATAATTCCAAATTTATCCTTTTCAATTCAAGAAATATCTAAATTGTTTATAGTAACTATTGGTTTCATATCTAAATTGTGCAGCTGTGTTCCTTTGTACAACTTTAGCTATATATACGACTATCTTATGGCTTCTCCAAGGAGTTTTGTGGACAGGTAGATAAATGGCTTTAGTTTTTAATGTGATCGGCACTGATTTCTCTGTAGATAATTCCTCGCCAATGTAGAATTTCTTTGAAACACGTAGCTTAGCATTTTAACCTATTTGTGTTGAGTTATTTATTCTGTTCGTCTTCTAGCTTTCTTGATAAAAAGGAAGACCGCTACAACCCGGAGATGTCACCTGTCATACCACTGAACAAATGGCGTAAAGGATCACAGGTTATGCATCTTAGATTTTGGTTTAAATTAATCACCAAATTGCTCACAACAAAAGATATACCCAACGGAGCTTTCTGGGGGGTCATGATTTGAGCACATTATCCTTGCCATTTAAGATGTTAGGATGAACAAAATTGGTTAGAGCATTAGCCATTAAGTGCTTTCTTAATTATCCCATACTCCCATTAAATTTGAACCATTCCATTGTCTTATAAGGCATTTGGAGCTGTAAGGCAAGAGCCTTGACAGAAAATGGAACCATCACCACAAACGACAGTAATGATGGTTGGATTTATCTTATGAGACTATATAATTGATTTTATGCTGTCGTTTGGAGGGGCAGGTCCATTTCTGTGTTGGTTTGGTTCTACTTCTAGAGGACAAGATTCAAATGGTTGAAAGGTATAAAATATTGTGAAATGGTTGTATTTTCTGGGATATGGAACATTTCCTTACTATTTTGTATTATAAATGCTGTATTATTTATTTAATTTTACAATGTTATGAATACCTAGGACCTGTCTGACTGAGCAAAACTGACTCCTCCAAAATTAGTCATAATATTTAGATATGAATCAAGTCACTATTACTGTTATTACTGTTATTACTGTTATCAATATCATAATTTTTGTTGTTGTTATCAAAGAAAAGTCACTATCACATGGAGGATATGATATGCTTTTTCTATGATCTGACTTGATGTTTGGAAATTTCAGTGGGTCACTTTAGTTCGGAGACATGCAGAAGTAATTGCAAATGATGAGGTCATCTTTCTTGTCTTCAGGAAATCTTGCAAGGTATATGATGTGACATTTCATGTCTTAAATCTCAACCATCATTCTTTCTTTTTTATTTATTTTTGGTTTCTTTTTACCAAGATACAATCATTTTTAATGTAAAGCCAATTATTTAAAAAATTAATGTGTTTCCCACTTTCCTAGCAAAAAGCATAATTTACTCATGATTATCTTTTGCACTGTTCTATACTTGCATCTGTACTAATATATTAAGAAGTTTTTTTTTTATGACTCTTGAAACTTCTAGATGTAACGTTACTGTATAATGTTCTTGAGGGGTAAAAAGAAATCCTTATTTAGTTAAAAACCCACCATGTGAACTCTGTCCACTAGCAAATAATGACTTCTGCATGCGGGGACATACATGTGTTTGTCTTTGCTCAAGGTCCTGCTTGTGTGTTCATCAATTAAAGCAACATTCACTTGTATTGAAGATTTTCCTCCACTGAGGAAAATCTTCAATAACTTGCATATAAATGTTAATCTTGAGGGATTGTCAACTATGCACTGATTTTTAATGTGCTTCAATTATATACTAAGTTAATAACTTATACAAATGTTTATGACTTTGCAGAGACGCCCACCCATAGATGCGAGTAAGGGAAAGCTGAATATTGTAAGTGATTTTTGTTTCCAGGTTTAAATAGGAATTTGAGGACCTTTCCTTCAATTTTATTCGCTGGTCAATTTTTTTTTTAGTTGTTAATTACTTCTCAATCGTAAATTTGCAACAATTATTATTATTATTTTTCCCTGGCATATAATTATGTATTCATGGGCAAATGCTTGCTCTCAACGGTTTATATACAAAGTTACAAACCGTCTAGGAAGCACGGACACGCCAAAATGGGCGAAGAATCCATGTTCGACACGTGTCGGACACTGACACGCGTCGGACACGCCCCGACACGTGTCGAACACACCAAAAAACGCGTCTGGAATTTTTTAATTTTTTTAATTTTCGGATACGGCTTGGACACAGCACGAACACTCCGCAGACACGCGTCCGACAAGCAAGGGGTGTGTGTTCGACACGTGTGTCTTATTTTCGGTGGTCTAAAAGATAATTTTTGAAAGAAAATTGGGTTAAAGTATAAATATGTGAAGTTATTTAACAACTGTTACTCACTTATGTGGTCAGTACATAATAATTTTAAACTTGTAAGGTTGATATGCAATTTTAGACAAAACAAATAGATATTTAAGGGCCAGTCATTACACTATTACACTAGATGAGTTATGATTTGTGTATTTTTTTCATTATGAGGTTGATGAAAAATAGTAACACTCAGTAATTTTTAAAGTACTACATTATATATATATATATATATATATATATACTATTTGCCGTGTCCTTGTCGTGTCCGTGTCCTAATTTTTTTGGATTTGCCGTGTCCGTGTCCCGTATCCATGTCCGTGCTTCTTAGCAAACCGTACTATACTGATTTGATCATTTTTACATTATATATATTAAATATATATATATTTAATATCTTTCAAGGTGTTCCTTGATCTCTTGGGTTTGCTACTTCTCACTCTGAAACTTTAATCCTATATTTAATGGTAGCATCAATTCCTGACAAGATTATAGAAAATTGATCAAGATCTTTTTGGCATATACTTTGAGGTACAGTAATTGCATGAGTGTGACTGACATGGTTCAGGTTGAAGGTGTTTGGCAGGCCATAGAAGCGAGGACCAAGATGGTTGAGGTAGTGAGGACAGTTTTAGTTGCTTATAATTATAGCAGATACTGTGGCCGTCAAAAGAGCTTAATTAAAATCTAGGATTAACTAACTCCAAATAGTGGGACAAAGGCTATGCAATAGATATGAACTCAACGGTATGCATGAATATATCATATATGCCTAAGGGGCAACTCATGCAAGATACCTCTGGGAGCCTCATTATTGAAAATTTGATTTACAAGTTCCTCTTGAAATATAGGAAGGCATCATCACACTTTTTCCCTCCCCCCCCCCCCCCCCCCCCCCTCTCTCTCTCCCGCTGTAGCTTTATTCACTTGTTGCCCCATTCTTTATGATTTTGATGTTTAATGTATAATGAAGGCGCGTCTTAAAAGATACCAAAGATTATTTACTGTTCAGATTGAAGGAACCCTAGTTACCCTATAATAGAAGCCCTTTCATCCCTTCCGGTGTTCATGAAGATGTGTTAAGTATGACTTCCCCCTGAGGAAAATCTCTACCATTCTAATAATCTGAACTAATTCTTATTATGGGAAACATCTTGATTTCACATATCTTTTCAATCTCCTGTTTTCTACTTGTCAAAGGAAAAGAGAAGAAAAAGAAAAAAGAGAACTTCTTTTACTCAAACTGCTACACTCTAGGGAAATATGCCTTCATTTATGTACTTACCCGCATTATATTTTATTAAAACCTTTGGATGTGCCCTTAAACAAATAAGTTTTTGAAGGTTGTGCATTATTAGAAAACAAAATGATATGAGAAATAGTTTCACATAATAGGAGCTGAGGAAAACTTTTTTACTTTTTTTTTTGCTTGCGGGTCGTGGACCCTGTTTAGTACTCTCTTGTAGCCCATTATATAAGGGTTATATAAGGGCATTTAGGGTTTGGAGTGGGATATTGAGAGACACTGAAAATCACAGAAAAGTGAGAGAGAGTGAAAGCGAGAGCTAGGGTTTGGGGGGCTGAAACTTGTAATCTCCTGTTTTTCGCATAGTGAAACCGTTCGCTGGATCTTCACTGTGGACGACACAACTTGCGTCAAACCATGCTAAATCTTTGTGTTCGTTGTTTGTGGTGTGTTTATTTATCTGTTTCATGATTTGTTCTTGGGTTCACTGCATTTGTTGTAACATTCTTGATATTTCCATTTGCCTTTGTTGTTTCTCTAATAGCCCCGGCTTTCTCTAACAAAAAATAATTTGTTCTGATTATGTTCTGAATCTCAAATGCAGAAACTTCAGAAGCAGCACAACTGTATCCCGGATGAACACTATGTGCCAACATTACTCGCAGTAGGCAATAGATTTATGTTTATTTTATACTTTTTCATTATTATTATTTTCTGCTTTTTAGATATTGTGGTTCTTCTGAACAAGATCTCTTGGTGTTCTCTCTCATTTTTCTTTTAATTTAAAATTTCCATTCTCTCTCTCTCTCTCTCTCTATTTTTATTTTATTTTTTCTTCTCTTTTGGGTAGAGACATTTCCATATGGATTGTTATCACTGGTTTTACAAATTCCAATGGAGAATCACATTTGTTTCTGTTCTTTTCTCTTCTTTTAGATGAGTGACCTTGAAGGTGAACTTGAACGAAGAACAGTGACCTACACTTCATGGAACCATTCTGCCACAAATATGGAAGGGAATAGTTGGCATCCTTTTACATTTAGCTACGCAACTGCAGCCCCAGAACATATCAAAAGAATAAAGGTGATCGTTTTGCACTCTCCCCTCCTACTTGATGGTTAATATATATTATATATGACATGGTGGATTACTAGACAGATAAGTCTGATATATGATTTTCACGTATGCTCCAACTTACTGATGAAATTGTTGTATTGATTTATTTATCTGGTTTTGAAATGCAAGCTATTGTGTATTTGGTTGCTCCATTTTTGCAATCCTGTTGTGCACTGTGTAATCTACATGGTTGCAAATGCTATGAAAACGTGTAGGAGAAGCACTTGACTTCTGTTCTACAAACTTGTCATGGCTCCATGGTATCATATCAAGTGCGTAACAGTGCCTGCATACTAGTTAGACCTGTAAACTGATCGGATATGTGTCAATCGATTGTATCCGAATCAGATAAGCATAATGCTATGAAAATGTGTAGGAGAAGCACTTGACTTCTGTTCTACAAACTTGTCATGGCTCCATGGTATCATATCAAGTGCGTAACAGTGCCGGCATACTAGTTAGACCTGTAAACTGATTGGATATGTGTCAATTGATTGGATCCGAATCAGATAAGCATAATGCTATGAAAACGTGTAGGAGAAGCACTTGACTTCTGTTCTTCAAACTTGTCATGGCTCCATGGTATCATATCAAGTGCGTAACAGTGCCGGCATACTAGTTAGACCTGTAAACTGATTGGATATGTGTCAATCGATTGGATCCGAATCAGATAAGCATAATGCTATGAAAACGTGTAGGAGAAGCACTTGACTTCTGTTCTACAAACTTGTCATGGCTCCATGGTATCATATCAAGTGCGTAACAGTGCCTGCATACTAGTTAGACCTGTAAACTGATCGGATATGGGTCAATCGATTGGATCTGAATCGGATAAGCATAATAAGTGATCTGACCTGATAATCCACGGGTTTTCATTTAATGAATGCATATCCGATATGGACTTTATTGGATGCCCGATCCGATGATCCAAGCCGTTTGAAGTATACACTTCTGGACAAATCAAGAAATTTAACACCAAATCTCAAATCTCAGCATCACATGGTTTGCTGCAAATATGTTTAAAATTTTCCAATTAAAGGTTGAAGAAAGAGGTTCACAACTTTTTGTTACCAGTGAGATAAACTACTGGGTTTTTGTTAAAGAAATAAAATCACTCTAAAGAGAGAAAAAGAAAAGAGAGAGAGAGAGAGAGAGAGAGAGAGAGAGAGGAAAGAAAAAGAAGAGGGAAAAGAATCTGAAATTACTTTGTTGTGAAAGAAGGAAAGTTGGGGTTCATAATGGAGAAAGAAGAAAAGGAAGAAGAGAAGGAAAAAGAGAGAGAATAAGCAAACAAAATACTCACCTGCGCGATGGTTCCAGTAAGAGTTACAGTGGTTGGCCGACAAGCTCCCTTCCCCTTTGTTTGATCGTTTCTCTCATATCCGGTTAATTAGATCGGATTCGGATCAAAATCCGATCCATTGACAGGTCTAATAGACTAATACTAGTCCCTTATCCACTCCATTCATTTGGTAGCCTGCAATTAACCTTGCATTTTTTCAGGCTACGTTTGTGTATTCAATTTTAGTTGGTAAGCTTACTGGGATATTGAAATTTTCTTTTGATAAATCTTCCTTTACAAACTTAAATGCCCTTTGGTTTTATTCAAGAGGAATTGGGCAGATGTAGGGGAAAGCAAATCATTCATAAATTTAGAAAACTAGGATTGCATCTCCCACGTACCAATAAAGTGTAGACATGACACATATCTGAATAGTCTATTTGATGTCATTCTCCTGCCTGAAAGCAGTTACTGCCCTTCAATAAACTGGTGAACAATTCCATCTAGTTTTATGATTTCAAATTCTGAATATGAAATCCCACTTTCTAACCACCTCAGAAGCTCGGTTCTTACCTTACCTTTTTCTCCATTAATACTAGTGTCACAGTCTACTAGTTAACTTTGTCATATTGTTGTGGTACCTAAAAAATAAAAAAATAAAAAAGAAGAGGAGAATGGAGAGAGAGAAAAAAAAAAAAAAGAACAAAGAAAAATAATCATTTTAGAAGGCCAAGTTCTTTTGCTTATTGTATGGGCTTTCACAATATTTTTTTTTTCTTGATTTTGCAGTTGTTTAATTTGCACTGTTGTCTTTTCCTGTTTCTTATCAAGTGTTTGGTTCATTTACTTGTCTGTTCATTTACTTGTCTGGTTCAATTTAACAGGATGTCAACCATGTCTATTATGAGACCGAGTACCGGATAGAGTGGTGCAAAAATAATTCTACATTTGTTCCCTGTTTTTTATTTGCGAGGAAATTCTCTCAAGGAGCTGCCATGCGTCTTTTGAGAGGAGAAGTGGTCGGTCGCTTTGATACTTCTGCACTATTTGACAAACCATCGTGATCTTTCTTAATGCTTTAGTAATCGGTTTAACAGAAGATCTAACCATTGGCCATCCACCTGAGAGTATAATTCGGGCTTGGGCATCAAGTGGAGGTTTGCAGATAAATTACACATTTATACTCAGAAAATTTTATATATACTACGCGACATAGGTTTTAGGTTTTAACTTAACCCAGGTCCAAGGTTCAAGACTGGTAGAGAAAAGATTTTTTTATTTTTGTTTGACCTTATATTTAGTGAAATATTTTGGAAGAGATTGTCCTGAGATCAAATCCATCATATGTTGATATGCAGCATGAGTGTAACACTAGTGGTTATCATATTTTAGAATGCTGATTCTCAATGTTTTGGATATATATATATATATTTATATATATATATATATATTCTTGCTCTTCCACTGTGTCACCTTCCACGCGATTTTGTTAGGTAACTTGTTATCATGGGTAACTATTAACTTCCCATTGTGTCACGTCGACACAATTGGCCCGGCCAGAGAGCCATCATTTGTTGGGTTTCCAATGTTTCTCACATGAGCATATTTATAGATTAGCAAACCTCTTCTGAATTTCTTAACAAAGTAGTTACATGGAATGTTTTTCAAAGGTTGGTGTGGGATAGAAGTTACATGGAATGATTTTCAGAGGTTGGGGTGGGATAGAAGTTTGTTTTGTTGACAGGTTGATTAATAATTATAAGGGGAAAGTCTCAATTATGCTGAAAGTCTCATTTGTGTGAAACTTAAAAAGAAGCATATGTGACTAAATGTTGTTACTATTTTGATGGATGCTGTATTATTATTATTATGTTTTCAGCGCACTGATTTCACTTGCATCAACCAGAGCCTCATCTATCTTTGCATTTGAGTTTCAAAAATACATAAGCACATTGTACTTGTATTTAGACCGTTTGCACCAAGACAAGACCTCCCGTTAATGTACCTAAATTTGGTCTTTATAACAGAATCAATCCCATGAACAATGCCTGATGTTAATCTTGTGAGAATATAGTTGAAGAGCAGTTGTTTAAAAAATTACAAAACAAAGAAACCATGTCAGATGGAAATGTGAGCCTTTTCCACCTCAGAAAACAAAAGAATGCTGTGCGGCACTCATTCTTACGGCCTCTAAGAGTGACAAATGATGTTGCTGGTGGCCACTATAACTTGTGATATTGTGGCCCGAATTAGGTATTGGGTCGACCTGCTTATAACCCAACGACTCGTTAGATGGGAAAATTTTTTATTCGTTTTTTGTTCATGGGTCATGGACCCTAATTAGTCTTTTATAACCTAATATACAAGGGCGTTTAGGATTTGGAGTGGTGGAAGAGAGAGATTCTGAAATTCGTACAGAAACAGAGCGAGTGACTGAAAACTTGTAATATCTAATTTGATACATAGCGAAAACTTTCATCGGATCGCAACCGTAGACGTAGATCTTTATATTCTTTGTGTGGCGTGTTTACTTTTCTGTCGTGATTCTTGATTTAACTTAAGTTCATTGCGTTTGTTATAATATAACCGAATAACATAATAGTATCATAGTAGTGTTGAATGAAATGTAGAACGGGGATAATCAGTAGCCCGGCCATTTTATACAGCCAAATGATAATATTAATGTTATTTACGCTAGAAGTTTCAACGATATATCCATTTAACAATCAAAAAAGTGAATCAGCTTCAGCGTGTTCAGACAAGTTGATTTGAATAAGGAGGCTCATCCCATCATCAGTAGTAACAAGATGTTGTCACTCCTACCTCGAGTCTCGACTAAACAATCTCATCTGAAGTCCGTGCGCTATGCTCTAATTAGATGTCTTCCAAGGCCTTTCTCTCTGCTCAAGCTCCATCAATTTCCTCAATTGAGGCGTTTAAATGTGCCTAAAAGAGTGATACTGGAAAAAGAATGATAAGCAGAATTAATACACATGAATAATTTATGTGGTTTTAATCCAAAAAGGAAAAGACCAATTAAGTTCAAATGAACGTACCTGATTATAAGTACCACTTTGTATTCACTGGACATTATGAGATCATTCACTGTCTTAACCAATGCTCGAACAGCAGAGACCAAATCTGCACCAACCAAGAAGTTTGTTAGTTTGAACAAGCTAGCTAGCTTCTTCTTAGCAAGTACATCTTATTGACTCAGTCTCTCTTTTTTCAATACATAATAAAGAGAGGTCAAGGGTTCGAGCCTTCATGGAAGTATGTGTGTGTGAGTACCAACTTTGAAAAAATAAAATAAAATTTCCCTTAAAACATTGTTTGAACTGCTTCGTAAATAGAATAGCCACTTTTCTCCGATCTACAAGGCACATCTGTTTCATATATTACTCATGCTATAAAAATTAATTATTATATACGAGTGTCTCATGTACAAAGTTATCCATATGTATATACAAATCCAACTAAAGTGCTCTAATATTTTGAATGGTGGGTTTTTTTTTTTTTTTTTCTGTAAATAAATTTTGAATGGTGGATTGAGATTCCAATAATTTTATTTCCATTAATTTAGCAATTGAAAAAGAAAATAACAAATTAAAGTATTTATAAATGTTTCACGCGATAATCACAGCTTTTTGTTTAAAAATAATACCTCTAAATTAAGAATATATATGATTGGGTTAGTTGATGAATGAGGATATAAACTGAAAATTCGTGTTTTTCATGATATATAGACTAGACCATAGGAGCTTTATTAATTCATTATATATATATATATATATATAATCTCAACAATGAAAAATAAAAAATAAAAAAATAATTTTCAAAGCTTTATAATTAGGATATATTCATAGAGAAAAAAGGGTACCTTACCTGCCAACCAATCCACAAGTTCTATATTGAGTCAATTCTCAATTGTTCCGTAACTTGGGGTGTGCTATATTTTTTCTTTGATCGAGAGCCTAACTTTTAGTTTACTACTTGAATTTATGCGTATTATGTAGCCGTTCAATAAGACCACCCCACCCCACCCCACCCTACCCCACTTTGGTTTACTTGCCTACCTATCTACAGATGAAGTCCGCGTAATTTGGTTATTGTGCCAAACTTTATCATACATTATACCATCTATAAATACCCTTATTGTCAACCTCCATTTTCCATCCTAAGACCTTCACATTCACAATTCACACTTCCTTAGCCTATTTTTCAATATTCCAAATCTCTCGATCTCTATCAACACAATAACATGAAGTGCTCGAAGATCATCTTTTTGTTTGCAACGGTTATGGCTTTGGCCATTACTGTGTCTGCAACATCAGACCACGAAGAATTGCTACTTGATGATGATAATTATGAAGTCATTGGAACCGAAACTTATGATAATCCAGCATTGCTAGAGAGCCAAAAACCAGCTTCACTTAGAGGGACTGGCCGTTTTCTTGCTCAAACATGGCGTGTCGGTGTCACAATGACATGCAACACGTACCCTAGAGTTTGTCGCGTCAAGGGCAGCCCGGGACCAGATTGCTGCAAGAAGAAATGTGTGAACGTGAAGACGGACAGGCTCAACTGTGGCATGTGTGGACAGAAGTGCAAGTACTCTGAGATTTGTTGCAATGGCCAGTGCGTGAACCTAATGTCCAACAAGAAGCACTGTGGGGGATGCAACAACAAGTGCAAGAAAAGGGGTTCATGCGTGTATGGAATGTGTAGCTATGCATAGAAACATGTATGACATATATATATGAAGCATTTGTGCAGCTATATATACCGTACTAGCTCAATTTGTGTATGTAGATACAAAGAATAAGTTAATGTTCATAACCAATTAATAAAGGATTTTGCCAATGTTTACATTATTTCTGTCCATTTATGTAATCTTAAAATTCATACACACATATATATATATAGGGTGACCTTTTCTTCATGCACACACATACACATATTTATATATGTGTGGCACTACACATACAAGCAAGTCTATATATATTCCAACACTATGATTAATCATCCATCAGACACATGAAGTCTTCTCATTTCATATGCATTGATTGATTATTAGTAAACTTTTTGGAATGACTCTAAGGAAATGAGAGCTTATCATCATACTGTTTCATTAGATTTCGAAAATTCTCATTTAGACTCAAAATGCTTTTAGAAATTTTCAAACATCTAAAATCGTGAGTTCTAAAGAGATTGGCTTACCATAGAAAGAAAAAAAAAAAAATTCAAATTTAGCATGGCTGTTAAATAGAATTCATGTTTTTAATTTTATTTTTTATATATTTAATATAGTGTTTCCTTGAAAAGTTGATTTTCACTTTAAATTATACTTAAGCATGGAATTCAGAAGCTGAACTGTTCTGTTAGTTTTATAACAATAGTATAGCTAAATTAAGTTCAACTGATCCCGTTAAAATTAAATTATTATGCACCAATTTGATGGAATATTAATAATATATAATACGTTTGATACAATAAAATGGGAAAAGAATAAAATTATGCCCTTAAAATTGTAAAAAGACATTAGATTCAATGACATTGATGTACGTATCATAATATTTTTATTAATCATTGTTCTTAATTAGGATATAAAATTCTTTTTGGCGGAGTGATGATAATAATAATGATAATAAAAATAAAAAAATAAAGAAGCTAATAATGAGAAGAATAAAGAAAAAGAAAAAAGACTCATATTATTAAAAATTATTTCATCCATATTTTTTCACATTAATATATTAGGATTTGAGTTTTGGAGAAGGTTGTATAAAGAAAAATTGATAAGACATCTTTTTCACATCAATATACGCTGAGTTTAAAAGAAGGTTGTATTTCTCGTAAATAGATTACTTAATAAATCTCTCTCACTCATAGAGGTTGAAGCTTGGTACAACTTGAAACATAAATCACACTAACTTATTTCTAGACAAAATTATCCACCTAAAATATCTAGATATTTTCAAATTTCTTTAGCATCGCAAAATTTTCGTTGCTTTGTAAAGTTATACGAACTCTACAATATTCTAAAATCTTTTGACTTTCTCTTCACAATTTCCACATAAATTTGAAAATAAATTTGATTAACTCAACTCATGTCATGCAAAGTATTACAGGATAAATATTACTGTTTAAGAAAAGAAGCAAAAAAAATAGAGTAGTGATCGAGTAAAAAAAATTAATTTGGATAAACTATGTTTTTGTTTCTAATTAGTGCAAATTCAGGAACATGAACCCACTTTCTATACTTCATAGATAGTGTAGCCTATGGTTGAAAGACATAATTAGAAACATTCTTCTTAATCCCTACCATGTCGAAGAACTGTCCGTGTTCGTAAAATATTTATTACTGTATGATACTTAAAAAAATCAAAAGTCAATACTATTTTTTATTTTTTATTTTTTCCGACCACAAAAGTCAAATTAGCTAATTTAAGCCCCAAAATTGCCGAGGTCAATCAACCATGAGCTCGTGCAACCACGTCCTACTTTAGCTCCAAATCCTAGCTAAAGAGTGATTAAAGGAAATAGTCTCAGTATCGTGGGCACCACCTTCATAATCTGCTTTACAATATATGCACATATATACACACACACACACACACACACACACTGACACAATTAATCTCAATTTGTCCCACATCTCAACCCAAAAGCCATGACCTCCCTAACCACTACCCTTCCATTGATTTTGAGTCTGCTAACCTACTATGCTTCAACCTTGCAAGCTTACTCAATAGACTACTATGTACCCAGCACTAGTCCTAAATCCACCACGAAAGTCATGAACATAATAGACTCTTGCTGGCGCAAAAACTCGAATTGGGCAACCAATCGGCGTGCCTTGGCTGACTGCGCAGTTGGCTTCGGCAAAAATGCAATGGGAGGCAAGTATGGTGCAACATATGTAGTCACCAACCCGTCCGATGACCCGGTGAACCCAAAACCCGGCACGCTTCGTTATGGTGTGATCCAAACAAAGCCACTGTGGATCATTTTTGCTAAGGACATGGTTATAACACTCAAGAACGAGCTTATTATGAATAGTTTCAAGACCATAGATGGGAGAGGGACCAAAGTGGAGATTGCATATGGACCATGCATTACAATACAAGGGGTGAGCCATGTGATCATACATGGGATTAGCATTCATGATTGCAAGCCTGGGAAGCCTGGCCTTGTTCGGAGCACTCCCATGCACGTTGGCCATCGTCGTGGCTCTGATGGAGATGCCATTGATGTGTTTGCTTCTTCCAATATTTGGATCGACCATTGCTTTCTTTCGCGTTGCAGCGATGGCCTTATTGATGTGATTCATGCTTCTACTGCGATCACCATATCTAACAACTACTTCTCCAACCATGACAAAGTAAGAGGACAATTTATCACTAACAATATATATATATATATATTGCCTTCCATATCATCTATTAATTAATTTCTAATCAGATTTTAATGATTGGTGTTTTGTATATTTTGCATTTGTAGGTTATGTTGTTTGGACATGACGATCATTATACACAAGATAAAGTTATGAGAGTTACAGTAGTGTTCAACCGCTTTGGCAGTGGTCTAGTTCAAAGGATGCCAAGGTGAGAAGAGGTTCATTATATATTTTTTTGTGTCCTATAAATATACTAATTAATTATATATATAATTAGTCTCTTATAGATGAAGTGTAATAATTAATTAATTGCAGGGTGAGGCTAGGTTACGCCCACATCGCCAACAATAAGTATGATGGATGGAATATGTATGCCATTGGTGGTAGTGCTAATCCCACCATCTTTAGCGAAGGGAACTACTTTGTGGCTCTTAATAGTCCTAATGCCAAACAGGTACATATGTGTGTGTCCATATATATATATATATACATATGTATATGTATGTGAGTGAGATGTTCTCATGACAAAATTAAGAGCAGAGCAGTATGAAACAATAAAATTTTGACCTTTTTTTTTTATTTTTTTATTTATCCATTATATTTTGATTTGAGAGTTGTGAAGTTTTTAATTAATTAATATGATATGAGTGTTATATAATTAATGTATAACAGATAACGAAAAGAGAGGTTAAAAGCGGATACAAGGATTGGAAATGGAGGTCTTCAAAGGATAAATATGTGAATGGGGCATACTTTGTTCAATCTGGTTGGGGAAGCTGTGCTCCACTCTACTCTCCAGCACAATCATTTTCTGTAGCTCAAGGATCCATGGTTCCAGCTCTAACATCTGAAGCCGGTCTACTACGCTGCACTATTAATAAACTATGTTGATTTATATATGTATATATATATATACACACACACACCTATACGTACATATACATTTTTCAAGCACGCTGTATTCATGTAATTTCCGTTTCCAATTTCCCTTTCGGCCTTATTACGGTTGCACTTGCTAAAGGTAGAATCAGTCAGTGATGTTGGCCATAAGGCTTTTCAATGTTTTAATTTCAACCTTAATTAGCTTTTCAGATCAGAGTACATAATATTACTCCAAGAAATATATATATATATACATACACATATATAGTTGTTGCAAAGTAGCTAATATGATGTATATTTGTCTAGTAGTCATGTTAGACCCTGATTATGAAGTATGGTTGTACGGTCATGGGATGATTGATTTATATATATATATATATATTTGGGTTAAACTTTGTAAACAATTTGGTGGGTGTCACAACCATTTTCATAGTTTGTAATTTTTTCATTTATATTTTCAATTATTAGCTCTTCAGATCAGAGTACATAATATTACTCCAAGAAATATATATATATATGTATATATATAGTTGTTGCAAAGTAGCTAATATGATGTATATTTGTCTAGTAGTCATGTTACACCCTGATTATGAAGTATGGTTGTACGGTATGGGATGATTGATTTATATATATATATATATATATATGGGTTAATCTTTGTAAACAATTTGGTGGGTGTCACAACCATTTTCATAGTTTTTAATTTTTTTCATTTATATTTTCAAATAGTCCCGAAATTTTTTCGATCAGTCTCCTAATTAATTTTTGTGGATAATGGTGTGGGGGAACATGATTCGTTACATGAAGCATTCTTTTTTTAGTTAAATACTTCATCATCAATATATCATGAAAAGAGAATTAAAAAATTAAGTCAGGCAAGATTAAACACCTTTAATCATAAGATCAGGAATATTGGATAGCCGTGTATTGAAGAGATGAATTTGCCTGGATATATATATATATGATAATTATGCTTAGCTACAAAGGAGACTACGACATTTGTAAGTAGTGTTTTGGTCAAGAATGTATAAGCCACAATCCAAAATGTACACCTTTAACATCAATATATGATAATTATGCTTAGCTACAAAGGAGACTATTCCTTAATGAATGGTTAATTAAGATGTTTTACCATCAACGATTTATATAAGTAAGCAGAACAGTGGGAGCTGGCAAAGGAGGAAAAAACCAAAAAAAAAAAAAAAAAAAACTGGAATGGGCAATTGTGCCAATCAGTTGATGGCCCGATGCTTACAATTTACCCATAAGTCAAAGGAAATTATCATAATTAATTTACTACTAATGTGAAAGACAAACATATAGAGAAAGTTATAGGTAAGAAGCAGTAAGACACAATTATGCTAAATTCATTTAAATCAAATTGACAATTTAAACTTATTCTTTTATCCAAATAAAGATTTAAAGACCGGTAATTATAGTTATCGAATTCAATGTATGTGATTTTGGTGATAGATCTCATTATATGATATCATCATGTAATGGGATCCACCACCCTTCTTAATAAATTGAATTTCGTTGAATTTGATCTTTAAATCACTACTATTTTTCTTAATTTAATTTATGTGAAAGTAGTGATAGATCTCATTTTGATGGTTGATTAATGAACCTTTATATTTAGTATTGCAACTAGTTTTGTTTTCTTTCCAAAATTAAAACATTTTAAGTATATAATGAGATTTGTGCTACTATTTAGATAATAAAAATACACGATAATCAATAACAGAGGTGGTCCAACCGAGAGTCAGATCATTATGTGCCTAAAATTACAATAGAGCCAGCTGTGCATAAATCGTGACAAAACTTCCACATTGATTTTTATTGCTTTTGGGTAAAATCATACGAATGACATGCTTGCGATCCGACAATCATCACAACGCCCCCCCTTCCGCATTGATTCTTATCGCTTTGGGTAAAATCATACGGCCCCTCCCCCTTTCCACATTAGTTCTTATGGCTTTGGGTAAAATCATACGGTTGATATGCTTGTGATCAGACAATCATCACAACGCCCCTACCGCCAAGGTGCCAAACCTAAAACCTACTTTCCTATTCCGAACCATATGTGTGGAGGGAAAAATCTCCCTCCAATGAGAACTGTACACATCATCACCATATAAATACCCATCACAAGTGTCAGAGGCCCATCATGTTCAAAGCCCAGTCCGAGCTCGTTGGTAGCCCAGAATCATAAGACACTAGCCCAAGGTCACAGCTAATTGATCTCTGTAGCATTGCTCAAGCCCGAAACAAAAGATCCAGCCTGTTAGCAATATCACATGGATCAGGTTACTTATGGCCCAAATTCATTGAAAGGAAATTAGTCCTATTAGAAGAAAGATACAGCAAAGAAAGAAACTACTACACAAAGAAAAATTATGCAAAGGAAGGAACTCTATTTGTAAAGAAATTCTGTAGGGAAAGAATTGGAGGACAAGCAATGCGAATCCTACCATAATTCAACTAATCTTTTGTGTATAAATAGAGGCACAGACCTCCAATAAAGGGATCAGGAAATTCTACGCTTCTCTATATATTGTTCTTGTCTATTTTTATTGTTTTTTGAGTGAGTTGTTTTATTTTTCTCAATCATTATTGGTTGAGCGAAATTTTGCTCCTACACTTTGGCGCCGTCTGTGGGAATTGTGTGCAAATATATTCCCACTCTTGTTTCAAGTGAATCTTGCAACTACCATCCAGAATGTCGAACGGAGGATCTTCAACAGATCAACAGACGAAGTTGATGCAGAAGATGCGTGAAGAGTTTCTACACCAGTTTGACGTACTTCGTCAAGCAAACGAAGCTAGCGTGGCTCAGATCGCCTTGCTTCAACAGCAGAATAACACTCTGCAAATGGCGATTGCTCAGTTGGCACCACCGCCACCACCAGGTGATACGGCAGCACCTCCTAATCAGAATATTCCCCCAGTTAACGGGCCTCAACCTAATTAGGCACGACCCAATGAGGCTCAGCCAAACGAGGCTCAGCAACAGCAGAGGGCAAGGTTCGAGGTCGTCACTTCAAACAACTTCCCTCATCGCACGCAGGACGAGTAAGTCGAGTCTAGCCATAAGCTCACGGTATGGTCCAATGGTATTCCAGATGGTGCAGGTGTTCAGGATGCCTTTGATGAGAAAAGACTCCTGAAGATTCAGACACCTACTGAGATGGCCAGAGAGCACAAAAATTCCCTGGTGAAAACTCCTTTCACTGGCGATGTGTATATGGTTGAGAGGCCCAAGAAATTTACCATGCCTTCTTTTACTCAGTTTGACGGTACGGGAGATCCTTCTCGGTACCTGGATCATTATGCCCAAAAGATGACTTTGGATGACCGTAATGACCCTTGGATGTGTAGAGTTTTTCTTACCAATTTGACAGGAGCAGCACTAGAGTGGTTCAGGAATAGGCCACACAAGTCCATCCCGGATTACGTAACTCTGTGCACCATGTTCCTAGCACAATACTGCAGAAATAAGAAGCAAAAGAAGAGTATTGCTAGCTTCTTCACCGTAAGGCAAAAGAAAGGGGAAACACTGCAGGATTTCTTATCTAGATTCAACATGGAAACCTCGGAAATAGTAGACTGTCATCTCGCGACTGCTATAGAAACATTTAAACTTATAATGATTCAGGGAACGAAATTTCATACTTCCTTGGTCAAATATTCTCCTTCCGACATGCAGACTCTCAATGCCAGGGCCCAGATTTACATCCGGCTCAAGGAAAATGTAGCCCACCGAACGCAACACGCCACCCTCGTGACAGTGGAGAATAAGCCTCGAGAGAGAATTCCAAATTCAAAATTCAGAAAAGCCAACGCGCCTCAACGCCGACCACCCAGGCACCTGAGAAGAGGCAAATGATAGAAGAAGGGTTTACACCTCTCCAAACTACCTTGGCTCGGCTCTTCCAAGAGAATAAGATGAGGTTTACAGCGCCGCAGCCAATGAAGCAACCCTTGGAGCAGAGGGACAAAAGCAAGCATTGTGCTTATCATCGAGATTATGGGCATTCAACCAATGATTGCAGATCCCTTAGGTGACAAGTGGAAAATATGATAGCCAGAGGTGAGTTGGCAGATTACCTTATGACGAAGGAGTATGTGAAGCCCCGCGAGGTCTATCCTCGCAAGGTAGAAGGTACTCAAATAAAGGTCATTCATGCAATACATGGCAGATCTGAAGATGATCAAGAGTCCGAGGAGGTATATAGATCCAGATTGAGGGCAGCCCATAAGCTCAAGAAGATATCATCGGTCAATGCTATCGCTTCGGGCAGCATCAGTATTGGATTCGGCGATGGCTACTTATCCAGAGTTCAACTCCCCCACGAGGATCCATTGGTCATCAGTCTTTTAGTGGCAAATTGCATGATCAAGAGGGTTTTGATAGACCCAAGGAGTAGCGCCAACATCATCACAAAGGCGGTCTTTGAGCAGCTAGAGATCCTGTCATCATCTATTCGACCTACCTCCAGCCTATTGATGGGGTTCGGTGGCACAAGAGTAGATCCCCTTGGGGTAATAGACTTATCCGTAACTGTGACGAAGAGGACTCTGAAGGAGAACTTTGTTTTAACAAAGATCCATCCTTCTTATAATCTCATCATGGGAAGAGGTTGGATACACCGAATGAAAGGAGTTCCATCTACCCTTCATCAGGTGATACGGTGCTTATCTCCGGATGGAAAGGAGGTTATTAATCTATGGGGCAATCAAGTAGCTGCGAAAGAATGCTATATGCTGACACAGGCCGAAGCAAAGAAGGTGTCTAGACAGCCTCAACCAAGCCTGACTCCCAGAAATATACCCAAATAGCAATTACAAAGCCCTCTGGCCAAGTATCTTAAGGTAGAGGAGGAAGAAGAAGCTGCGAAGCCTACCGAGGATACCCTCGAAGCCATAGAAGTTATCCTTGGTGACCCCCAGAAGGTCATTTATTTAGGCTCTTCTTCCACATTTGAAGAAAAGAAGCGTTAATTGATGTCATTCGGAGTAATGCAGATGCTTTTGCCTGAGATCATTCGGACATGGTAGGGATCGACCCTTTAGTCTCCTGCCATAGCCTGAAGGTGGATCCGGAGTATAAACCAGTTAAGCCGAAACATCGAAGGTTCGCCCCTGAATGTAATCACATTATAGTTGAAGAAGTGAACAAGCTGTTGCAAGCAGATTTCATCCGAGAGGTGCAATATCCACATTGGTTGTCAAACGTGGTGGTCGTACAAAAGAAGAATGGAAAGTGGAGGGTTTGTATAGACTATACTAACCTTAACAAAGCCTGCCCTAAAGACAGTTTCCCTCTGCCAAAGATAGATCAGATGGTTGATGCTACTACTGGCTACGAGAGGCTGACATTCCTCAATGTGTACTCGGGGTACAATCAGATTCCTATGAATCCAGAAGATGAAGAGAAAACTGCTTTTATTACAGAAAAGGGGACTTATTGTTACAGGGTCATGCCCTTCAGACTGAAGAACGCCTGGCCCACTTATCAACGCCTTGTTAATAAGATTTTCGACAATTTGTTAGGGAAGACGGTTGAAGCATACATAGATGACATGGTGGTCAAAAGTGTGAAGAAGGAAGACCATCCGAAGCACCTCCAGGAAGTTTTCAATACTCTGAAGAAGTACAACGTGAAGTTGAATCCTTCCAAGTGCTCCTTTGTAGTATCATCAAGTCAATTCCTCGGTCATATAGTGAATAAAAAAGGGATAGAGGAAAGCCCAGCTCAGGCTAAGGCCCTCATGCAGAATCAGTGTCACGACCCGACAATTCCAATAAAATCAGATATATCAAAATACACCAGGATTATAAAAATTGCCCCATCTTTTATACAAAGTCAATTTCCTCAACTACAAAAAAAATCTCCAAAATAAATAAAATAAATCTCGCAACGCCAACTCTTCATCCTAAGCCCGTATCTATGATCCCCATCTATCTTCAGTACCTGAAATTAGAGGGTGGTGAGACAAAAGTCCCACTAGGAAAAACCATAACAAGAATTTCATGGAGGTTTAATAAAACAGCTTCATAACATAAACATATATAGGTGAGTATAAACAAAATACATATGCATTTGATGAAAACAGTTAATAAAAACATTTGAAGCAAAACCTCCCCATGCCATTCAAGGTATAGAGAACCCTACACTGAAAAAGAATGTCCTCATTGGATCATCAAACCTCAAGTTCCGACCTTCTCTCTACAGCTCTCGGCTCCTCCGTCTACAGTCCATTTTCTCACTCTGTTTCTCTCTTTCTCTCTATTCTTCTATTCTGTTTGCTCGCTAAATTCACAAGACAAGGCATTATTTATAAAGGCAAATCCACCCCCTCACACCGCAACAGACCCACGTGCAAAAAGATAAACAAAGTCCAAGTTAAAAAGTTAGTCTGCCAAAACACTCGTTTCAAGCCAACCCTCACGTGAAGGACAAAGTTCAAAAAAACTTAAGACCACAAAAATCAATTTTGTCTCCACCTGCTCCATCACACAGCACCACACAATATATATATATATTTATACAATCAAAACATCAAACCCATTAAACCATTCCAGTGGGACCCGCCACAAACCTTACCTTATCAATTTCTTTCTTCTTTCATCAAATTAGCCCACGTGAATGAACCAAATTCACTACATACTTAACATCCAAGTGGCGGACCCCACAAGAACTCATTACCATTCATTTATCCCATTCTTCACACTCTCGGCTGCAGCTGTTCCCCACCGACATTACATATATATATATATATGTATGTATATATATATATATATGTATGTATGTAATAGGTTGCAAAAATATTAATTCAATTCTTTAAATATCTCTTTGGTGGCCCCACCAAAAATCACATTTCCAACTCCATTACTTTCTTTTCTTTTAATTTTCGAAGCCACTGTCTTCTTTTCACAAACATAATAATAATAATAATAATAATAATAATCAAATCAAATGATTGAAACCCAAAATCTCAGTCTCTAACAAAATAATTATTTTTGTCAACTTAAAAATATGAAATAAATATAAATTTAAAATTTAAAGAAAAAAATTCGGGTTATCACAATCAGGAACCAAAAAATCGTAGGGAGTTGCAAGTTCTCACCGGTCGGATCACAGCTCTCAGCCGGTTTATATCCCGATTATCAGATAAGTGCAAACCATTCTTCGATGCCATAAGATCTAAGAATAAGGATATATGGGGACCTCAGCAGCAGGTGGCCCTCAATCAGTTGAAACGTTATATGGCCGAACCTCCAATTCTATCCGCTCTAAAACCTGGAGAAGTTCTTATTATGTACTTAGCAATTTCTAGCATAGCGACAAGTGCAACGTTAATTAGAGAGGAAGGAAAGAATCAACACCCAGTCTTCTACACAAGTAAAACAATGACAGATGCGGAGACACGGTACAGCAAAGCGGAGAAAGTCATCCTAGCCTTAGTTTATGCCAAAAGGAAGCTTCGGCATTATTTTGAATCTCATAGCATTGTGGTACTCACCCACTATCATATACGGGGTATACTCTCTAAGCCGAATTTATCTGGAAGAATTACCAAATGGGCCATCGAGCTCAATTTTTTCGACATAACCTATGAGCCGAAGGTGTCGCACAAGGGACAGGCCTTAGCAGATTTTCTCCTAGAATACGAGGACACTCCCGAAGAACCAGAACTCCCTGAGCCACAGTGGGAACTTTGGGTTGATGGCTCCTCGAACCAAAAAAGTGCCAGAATTGGGATTGTTATATCAACACCCGAAGGCACCAAATTGCAGCAGTCAATTTGCTTGAATTTCCCTACTACTAACAATGAGCCCGAATATGAGGCATTACTTGCTGGTCTTCGATTGGCCAGCAGCCTTCAGGTTAGGTGTTTAAAAGTTTTTAGTGACTCACAACTTGTTATAAATCAAGTGACAGGTCAGTATCATCACAAAAAGGAAAGGATGAAAACATACAAAGAAGATGTGGAGAATGTTACACGAGGATTCGATCAAGTCGAATTCCACCAGGTACCTCATGTTGAGAATGCCGAAGCCAATCAATTGGCCACAGCAGCGTCATCCTCAAGTGAAAATCTGACTCGTATTATGCTAATTGACATCCTGGACGAACCTAGTATCAACCCTCAGCAAGAGGTAATGGTGATTCCAGTCATTCCATGAGAGCCATGCTGGATTGATCAATTGGAAGCCTACCTCAAGCATAGGACTCTTCCAACCCAAAAAACTGAGCCGCGGAAGCTCAGACTCACCGCAGCTAAATATGCCATCATCAACAACCAGTTGTACCGGAAGTTATTTTCAGGTCCTTATCTGAAATGTTTAAGCCCTACTGAGGCTCTTGTGGTATTGAAGCAGATTCATTACGGAGATTGCGGCAACCACTCTCGGGGCAGATCCCTCGCACATAAGGTTCTAACTCAAGGCTACTTTTGGCCATACTTAGCTCAGAATGCTGAAGAATACGGCCGGCGATGTGATAAATGTCACCGCCACGGTCCAATGAAGCATCAACTTGCCGAAGATTTTCACGCAATGACAAATCCATGGCCATTGGCACAGTGGGGGATTGATATGGTGGGCCTTCACCTAAGACCGTGGAACAAAAAGAATACGTACTGCTAGCTACAGGCTACTTCACAAAATCGGTGGGAGTCGAGGCTTACTCAAGTGTGACCCATGAGCAGGTAAAAAGATTCCTTTGGAACAATATCATTTGCCGGTTTGGGATACCAAAAGTCATTATGATGGACAATGGTAAGAACCTCGACAATAAGAGTATAAGAAAATTCTTCACCGAACATGGAATTGTACAAAAGCTAGCTGCAGTCAGTCATCCACAAAGGAATGGACAGGCCGAAATAACTAACCGAACCATTTTCAGTTGTTTAAAAAAAAAGTTGGAGAAACTCAAAACAAAATGGTACAAGAATCTCCCTCAGGTGTTTTGGGCATACTGAACTATTCCACGGCGGCCCACGGGGGAAAGTCCATTTGCCATGGCCTATGGTTCCGAAGCTGTGATCCTAACCGAGGCAGCAGTTCCAACCCTTCGGACGTTCTTGTTACTTGACGGAAACAATGGGCAGTAACTTGAACATAGCCTCGATCTCCTGGACGAGAAGAGGAATGCTGCAGCGATTAGGCTTGCTTCATATCAGCAACAGTTGCGCAGCAGCTATAACAAACGAGTCAGGTTCAGGAGCTTTGTGGTAGGTGATTGGGTTTTGAAGCAAGAGACAGCTCATGTAAAGAAATTGAAACCTAATTGGATCGAACCCTATAGGGTTACCGAAGTAGTGGGGAATGGAGTATACCGTTTAGTCGAAGCTGACGGACGTCCCATTGCGCGTCCTTGGAATGCGATACACCTTAAAAGGTACTACCATTAGATACATTTGTCAATTTTACAAAGAATTTCTTCCCAAATAAGGCTGCTTATGCCCACAGTCAGACAATTTATTTCTTTATGTTGCTTCTGTCATATTCGATGTGGGAAGCCATTCCGTTTCATTTCTTTCTTTCCATAAAAATGGGGGCCATACTAGTACCCTACAATTATGCGATTTTTATGCATTTTTATGCCATTATGCAATTTTTTATATGTCAAGATGCATTTTTCAATTTTTATGCCAAGAAGCAATGCCCAAACCAAGATGTCAAGAATCTTTTTATTTAAAGCTTTTTATCCCATATCAGTAAAAAAGTACGTTTTGCATTCTGTTATATATGGGAATATTCAAATAGTTGATTGCAGTGTAATGAGGGCCCACTGGTATTGAAAGTGGCCAAGCCTAATACCAGAGGCATTC